TACCCTGTCCTTGGTGTGACAGAGGAAATGAACACAAGAAAATGTGCCATACAAGGGCAGGGCCCAGCAAAGAGACCAGCAAAGAGCCCATTGAATATAGGGCTATTTTCAACATTAGTTGTGGTACCTGCAGGAACCATGTGAAGGTTGCCACCTTGCTTCTCCCCACCTGGCTAAAGGCCAATGCCTAAAGAAGGGAAAATCTTCCTTACCTCAGGGCTGCCTTTTCTGCCTATCTGACTTCCTGCTATTTCCTCTTTAATGACCGACTCACTTCTCCTTTCTTGCCCTTATATATAGTGCTCTTTTTTGACAAAGGAAGTCTGGATCCTACATATTTGGATGTCCATGTTCTTATTCCATATTAATTCTCATTATCTCATACCTAGTCTTCTTTCTCCACACTAGACTTGTTTCTAATAACTTTGTTCATTCATCATAACACATTGGAATCTGGGGGCTTAGCACAGAGTCTGCTTTGGTGTTCATGACTCTGCACTCCTCAAAGCCAGATTGAAGTGGCGGACCCCTTCAACATGGCTGGTGTACCCATACCCCAGCATCTGTGAGTGTTGGCTGCTAAAGTCTCACACCTGCACCCCTCTCAGAATTACCCTTAGATGCAGTGCAACCTCCCCCTACAGTGTTACCTGAATGGCCAGTGTCCAATGATGACTGAAATGGAGTCTGGAAGCCCAGCCTGTTGTCTCAGTGAGATGCTAACTATCCTGCAGGGTGTGTACCAGGGCCCCCTGTGGGACTGGGCCAAGACCACATCCTTGCCTAGCATCTTTCCCTTGCCCTCCCTGCCTCCCTCACTCCCTCTCTCCTGAGAGTTCTCTCTCACTAGAACACTGTGGAAGCTTCCCCATCTCAGGCTCTGCTCCAGGGAACTGGACCTAAAACACCAACAGTTTTATTTAATAATGGACATGAGGCTCAGCAGAAAAGACATAAGACCTCAAATCTGAGCTGCCAATATCTGATACTCCTGTCATCAAAGACACCTCTGAATTAGAGTGTGGGGTCCCTTCAGTACCATGTGCTTGGGGCTGGACACAGGAAGTGGGGGCTTTCCCAGTATGCCATTATCCCTGAACCCTTAGGAATTCATTTATTACCACTGAGAATGATACCAGGTTTGCCTGCCTGCCTGCCTCCTCTCTCACCCTCCCTTCCTTCCCTATTGGTTTCTTCTCATTTCTTTTCCTTTCTTTTCTTTTTTCTTTTCTTCTCTTTTCTCTTCTCTTCTCTCCTCTTCTCTTTCCTTTTCCCTTTCCTCCCTCCCTCTTTCTCTCTCTTTCTTTCTCCCTTCCTCTTTCTTTCTTTTTACTATAACTGTAGCGAGAATGGATTTTTATTTTTTATTTTATTTTTAAAGATTTTGTTTACTTATTTGACAGAGAGATAGAGAGAGAGCACAAGTAGGCAGAGTGGCACGCAGAGGGAGAGGGAGAAGCAGACGCCCCACTGAACAGAGAGCCTGATGCGGGGCTCGATCCCAGGACCCTGGGATCATGACCTGAGCCAAAGGCAGCTGCTTAACCAACTGAGCCACCCAGGCGCCCTGAGAATGAATTTTTAAGGTGATGTTGCTAATGTGTGATTCCCCTCTCCCTTCAAATACTTCAGTTCCCTCCTCAGAATCACAAAGGGTACATACTATACACACTCACAAAGAAAGGAGAGGTGACCTGACTCCTGAGATTCTGGGATGAGAATTTGTAGACAAGATACTTGTTTACTTCCTTCTCTTCTGAGAAGACTTTGTGGTTAGATGTAACATAGGAGTTGAGAGTAGGAGATTTGGAGATACCATGCTTGGATTCCAAGGCTCCTATATTACTATGGGGTGATTTTAGGTGATTTTATTAAATTTTTCTGATTTGAAAATGGGCAATGATAGTAACATCTCTATTTTTTTTAAAGAGAAGGTAGTAAGTTAAAATATGTACTAAGAACAGTGCTTTTCTCCCTTGATTCTATATATGTGACACAAATGGAAGAGCCCGTGATACTTCCCCCAGCCCTTGACTCTCAGAGTTTATGCTTAGAATGAAAAAATCATTTGTTTTCCAAGCCAGGACTATTTAGCATAAAAAGGGGCTTTAATCAAACTCTGCAGGGTACATTTTTGCCTTTCTCATTCAATATTTCCATGTCTCTTGTTCAGTGAGAATGCTGTCTCCCAAAATCAACACATTTATTCCTTTGCTCAGTGCAGTAAAAATTTATTTCTTATTTATTTTTTTAGTGCAGTAAAACATTTTTAAGAAGATTTTATTTATTTGAGAGATAGAGAAAGTGGGAGGAGGAGCAGAGGGAGGGGGATAAGTAGACACTGCACTGAGCACGGAGCCTGATGTGGGGCTTGATCTCACAATCCTGAGATTAGGACACGAGCCAAAATCAAGAGTCGGATGCTTGACTGACTGAGCCGCCCAGGCACCCCTAGTGCAGTAAAACATTTAAAATAGTTTCTGAATTGCTTCATCCATACTATTACAGATAACAAAACTGCTAAAGGGAGTTCGGGATTTATTTGCAGTTAGTTTGCATTTCTCTACCTTCTACCTTGCCCAGGACTGAGGGAATGTATTCAAGTATTATATTCAGAGTTTTTGTTTGTTTGTTGTTATTCTTTCTTCATTGTGGTTATGGCAGTCATTGAAAGACAACTGGATTCATTTGTTTCAGTTTTAGCTTTTTTATCCCTTCCCATCCTTGGTGATTTTATAAAATTTTATTTTTGGAAAATGTAGAACATTAACATGGTCCAAAAACTCAAAAGTATATACAATTTTATTTTCAGAGAAATGTTCTTCCCTCCCTTAACTCTTTTAGTCTGTGAGTGTGTCTTTTCCATCCCTGACTGGTTATCTCTTTCTTGTGGAAAGGTCACAACAAAGCTCTGGTTGGTGCCCTTGAGTGTAAGGAGAGGAGATGCAAAGAGCTGGAGGTCAGAAAGCCCCAGGTTCCACAGAACCCCTAAGGATCACCCTGTTTGCTCACACTCTGTTACCAAACCCCAAGTTGGGCTGCCCAGTGACTTGAAAGGCCAATACTCAAGAAACAGTTTTTATTGTAAAGGAATTTGAGATTTATTCAGGAGGCCAGCCACCTGGGGAGAAGGTGGGCTGTTGTCCAAAAGCCAACTCCAAGGTTTTTGCCTGGCCCAAGGGTTTTTAAAGGAGTTTAGGGCAGGACGCCTGGGTGGCTCAGTTGGTTAAGCGACTGCCTTCGGCTCAGGTCATGATCCCGGAGTCCCGGGATCGAGTCCCACGTCGGGCTCCCTGCTTGGCGGGAAGTCTGCTTCTCCCTCTAACCCTACCCCCTCTTGCGCTCTCTCTCTCTCACTCTCTCTCAAATAAATAAATAAATAAATAAATAAAAATCTTTAAAAAAAAATAAAATAAAGGAGTTTAGGGCAGTTAATCATAAAGGGAGTGCAGTAGTCTGTAACATTTTTTTTTTTAAAGATTTTATTTTTAAGTAATCTCTACACCCAGCGTGGGGCTCGAACTCACAACCCTGAGATCAGGAGTCACAGGCTCCACTCACTAACTGAGCCAGCCAGGCACCCCTGTAACATTTCTTCATTATGTGCAGACTCGATGGTGCCAGCTACAAATATATCTCAGTGCTCAGGGGTTGTATGAGGGGGTCTGGTTCCTGTTTTGTGATGTGTAGGGGTACTCTTCTTTTTTCTTTTTTTAAAAGATTTTATTTATTTATTTGTCAGAGAGAGAGGAGAGAAAGAACACGGCAGGCAGAGGGAGAAGCAGACTCCCTGCTGAGCAGGGAGCCCGATGTGGGGCTTGATCCCAGGACCCTGGGATCATGACCTGAGCCGAAGGCAGACGCTTAACGACTGAGCCACCCAGGCGCCCCAGTTTTTTCCCTTTTGTCTTGACAATATTTACCAATGTTAGACTGATTTATATATCTTTTATATTTTTGTCAATTATAGAATTATTTTTATTTCTATTTCATTAATTTATTATATTATCTTCAATGATATCTTCCTATTACTGTCTTCAGTAAAATTTAGCAAAATGCATAGGTTAATTTTAAAATGTTTTTCTCAGTTTTATTCCATAAGATCTGTTAAATCAGGGAGGCTGATGATGTTATTCACATCCTCTATATTTTATCTATTTTTGTGAACTGAGTGGCATTCTCAAATAGAAATCTGTTAAACTCCATCTTGTGTCCTTATATTTCCTAATGCTTTTTATGTATAAAGAGGCAACTGTCAATTCAAAATCCTACAGGGTTGATCCATTAACATGAATAGATAAAGCTGGTTTAATGAAGGCTATTATGAATTAGAGGGTACCTGCCCCAGACAATGGAGTTGACATTATCTAGCTCCAACAACCATTTAACATGGGAGAACACTGGCCAGGACCATAGCATTTTCTAATTTTTAAAGAGAAACAAAAGCTCCAGATTGTTTAAAAGTTGGCATATAATCTAAAATTTTATTTATTTATTTATTTATATTTAAATTCAACAGCCAACGCGGAGTACATCATTAGTTTTTATTGTAGTGTTCAATGATTCATTAGTTGCATATAACACCCAGTGCTCATCACATCATGTGCCCTTCTTAATGCCCCTCACCCAGTTACTCCATTCCCCCACCCACCTCCCTTTAAAATATTTAAACTACAGAGTGGGAAAGGGAAGTGAAATATTGGGGCTATTTTCTGCTATTGTGTAGCCTATGTTTAGAAAAATGTCGTCATTCATAAATATGCATCCACATATCCTAAATAAAATGCTAGCAAATCATATATACTTGGAAGGGAACCAGTTTACTTTTTCAGAGTAGTTTGAATCAATATTTGTATATCCAATAATATGAAGTAGGATTTTGCAAATATGAGTAAAGGTGAAATTTGTTAATATTGAATTTGCCACACTAAGGAAAGTAATACACATATTCTTTCTGTCTAGATTATCTGGCTTTGAAACTCCTTTTGGACATTGACATTATGGCTTCTTATGAGTTGGTAATGGGGATTCTCCTCCTCTTCCAGACTGTAGTTGGGCTTCTAGGGAATTTCTTATTCCTATGTTTTTATATATTGACTTTGTTCACTGAACATACTCAGAGACCTACAGATCTAATTCTCAACCAGTTGGCCTCAGCCAACCTTCTAGTCCTTCTCTCTAGGGGAATCACTCAGACACTGGCAGCTTTTTGTTTGGACTATTTCCTGGGAGAAGCTGTGTGCAAGATTACCTTTTATACTCATAGGGTGGCCCGAGGCGTTTCTCTATGCACCACCTGCCTTTTGAGTGGCTTCCAGGCTATCACTATTAATCCTAATAATTCCAGGTGGGCAGTACTCAAACTGAAGGCTCCTAGATTTGTTCAACCCTCCTGTTGCCCCTGTTGGATTCTTCATCTCCTGATAAATATTGTTGTGCCAGTGAAAGTGACTCATCCAGGGAATACTATAAACATTACAAAAATGAATTTTGGACTAGGTACTACAGAAGGGTCTCATTCATCCATAAGCTCTATGCATTCCTCTTTACCTTCCTTGATATTTTGTCTTTGGGACCAATGGGTTGGGCCAGTGGCTCCACAGTGCTCTTCCTGCAAAGACATAAGCAGAGAGTCCAAAACCTTCACCACACCAGTCTCTCTTCCAGAGCCTCCCCAGAGACCACTGCCACTCACACTGTCCTGCTTCTGGTGAGCTCATTTGTTTCTTTTTATTTTCTATCCTCCATCTTATCACTCTATATGACTGGCTTTGTCACCCAAAGCCTGCAGCTCATGAACATCAGTGCATTCCTGGCTGCTTGTTTTCCAGCTTTTAGCCCCTATCTCTTCATCAGCCATGACATTCAAATCTTAAGAATCTACTTTGTTAGTTGTAAGACAAAAATCTCCAAATAGTCTCTTTACAAACAGCTACCATTCATTCAACAAATTTTTAAGTACAAAATATTCGACAACTGTGGGTCTAACTGTAGACTCATTTAAAATTTATCCTGGTTGTTTATCTTTCTTTCTTTCTTTCTTTCTTTCTT